CCCCACTCCGTATTTAGGATATCGTCCCTTCACTGTATTTCGCTGATGTTTACCTTAGCTTCCACGTCTCTTAATTTGGCAGCGATTTTCGATTTTTTTATAGCGTGACATACGAAAGGACCGGTGACCATTCCTATTTGCTCGCCATCAACAGTGGCTGTAGGAAATCTGCCACTATTCCAACAGGCGGTTGTATGGCATATGGTGCAGAGTAAACTGCACGAAGGATACGTGGCGCCTACAACACCATGTTGCGTGCAGCCCCCAAGGGTAGGTCTGCGACTCGCGCGTGTCGCTGAGACGTGCGATCATCGTTAGTGAAAAAAAAAAAAATATTCTCTCTGTGATGTAAGGAGGTAAACGCTAAACAAGGTTGTTATGACGATCGAATGGCCATTATATAGCTCGTACAATATATTTAATATTATTATCTCGACAGTGTATTTTTTGCATTCGTTTAACGTCGACATATTTTGTACCATTAGCTTAATGTTAGTAAGAAATGTGTTCTATCGATTGACGTACCGTATCGATAAAGGATAAAACCATCACATCGGTGCCCAAAAATGCTTAATCGTGGTTCTATAGTGGCAAATTATGACTGTATATGATATAAATGGATAGATACATGATAAAGTGTAGTTGTGTTAGCCGTGCTTCGAAAATGACGTTAGGTTAACCTCATTAATGTTTTACTTGCTTCCATAAGAATTGCCCACTAAAAGCACCCAAAAAAAGGGTTAGTACAATAGAGGCAAATGGCCATTTAGCGTAGCATGTGTGTGTGTGTGTGTGTGTGTGTGCGTGTGTTTGTGTGTAAGCTAAAACATACAGCTTCAGCACACATTCAGATGTTCCAACTTCAAATATAGGAACGAGCCATAGCTAAAATCAACACCTAGCCTGATCTCGTACGTTGTAACCGTTTCGTAAAAACTATCATTGTAAGGTCAGCGGTCATCCGAGCCAAAATTGGAGTTTAAAGTTGCACACGATCTAAGTTTAGTGGGTTCCAGTCCCACAGTTTTGGGAAAATACCCGAAATCTGAAGTTGCATAGCGCTTTGTTTGGCATTTCTATCAGAACATGCAGCAATAGCCTCAAAAGAAAATCAATGCACAACAACAACGGCAGCAGCGATTCCTTCGAATGCTACAGCCGGCGTGCTCTAAAACTAAAAAAGTGCAATTTTATGGTGCGTGCTTTTCATTCCCTGCACCCCGCATGTACCCCGCGACTGCATTCAAACAAGCAAACCAGACCAAAGCAAGCAGCAAACACCTAAGCAAATGACGTATTTGTGTGCGCTCTGCTATTGCTAACGCAGACGCTATTCCCTTTTCTGACGCTGTTATTGCTGCTTCGTCGAGCGATTCGTCATTCTATGCTTAACGCTAAAGCTGGAAGTGGTCTACCAGCAAGTATCGCGGCCTTGCGACGAACCGGCGCGGCAGTGTGGCGTGCGTGTTGTCGTCGATCAATGTCGGACAATGTCCGCTCCCCGATCGAGACTGGTAAATGTATGGAGTTCACGACAGACCTGTGCCAAGAACCTGAACAGATAAACGGATGCTTTTCGTTCGTTGATTTCCTTAGCTCGCAGCGTCGTCTCTATCAATTCGGCTGATCACGGTACTGCTGCGAGCGGCGTTGATGATGATTTCTTTCATCATGCAACAGAGGACCGGTCCGATTTTGGCAGTCGACAATTAGGCGGCTGGATAAGTGGGTCGCTCGCTACCTTTTTCTATTGCGTCCCTTGACTAGTAACGTCATCAGCAGTAAAAACCATGTGGACAATACAAGCCAGTCCTTTAATGGGGCTTCCAACAGTACACTCAAGCGAAATTTGGTCATCGATGTACGACTACTGAGAGAAGTAGTAATAGTTGTACCTTACCGACATTTTAACGAGCAAATCATGTGATACTGTAAATTGATTGATCGCCTATCTCATCCAAGTCCTTCGTGCAAATCTAGCATCGGGCTTTCGAAAACGTATTCATCGTTCTCAAGCCAAAACTGGAACAGCCATTTTTTTATTTCTAAAATGACGTTGGGAAACTAATTATGCACGATTTCAATCGATGATATTTTGTCATTTTTTGATAGTACGATGAATCGTATATTACGATCGAGTTTCAGTCATTTTTGCGCCGTTTGTGACTGTAACCGTTTATTGAAACTAACTGAGTAGCATTAAGAAACTCCTGCAGCCACGGAAACAGATAGATAGTTTGGCGACACAAAATCCGGCTTGCATTCAAATCTCCCATACAATTGCGTAATCTTTGCCGGCTAATAAAGATGTATACGGTCTAATATTGTCATGATGGAAAACAATGCCCATTCGGTTCACTAATACTGGTCGATCTTTTTCAATGTCTGCTTATAATCTTATCTTTTGTCAACAACGGAGATCCGAATCAAGCGTGTTGTCAGGCGACAGCAACTCGTGATAAGCGATTCCTCTCCAGTCCTACCAAATAGCTTCACCGTTCTTGGCGTCAGCCTGAGCTTCGTCATAGATTTTAGTTTCTTTTTTTTTTTTACCGGCACGTTACTGTCATACGTGACTCGTGCATTATCATCTACGATCAACCGCTTCATTTTATTACGTTCCTCTAGAGTTTCACAAATCGAAATGCAATGGAATAAATTACTGTGCCTTAATTCGTGTAACATCGAAACATACTGGCCCGCTTTTTTTTTGAAAGCTGTTTGGTGGTGGATGTTTACTTCCTTGGCAATGTCATGGCTATTCGCGTAACAGTTTTGTTTAGGTCTCGAAATAATTGCACCCATTTTTCCCAAACTTGGTCAACCACTATATAGCACCTTTCTTATTGAAGATTCCAGAACAAAAGCAACGGAATATATCTTTAAAGAATTTCGTTCGATGACCGTAAACAGCATAAAATGTTTTATAGGCATCGTCAAGCTTTACTACGATCAAGGCAGCATTTATGCCTTGATCGTAATAAACCTATAAAATATAGCAGAAACTTCACTCATCTGTAAGGCGCGTTATGTTGGGTCTTAATGAAAGCATCCTACGTTTCAGTTTCATATGCCCCTACGCTAGGGCCAAGGCCGAGCCTTTAAAGACAACTATGCCAACCCGACGTAACACATGGTACATAGGATATGTGACGTTAAAGCCCTCTAGCCGGAATATCAGTCTGTACCTTCCCGACAACTCAAATATTTACTCAACAGAAAGCAGTAAAAACATAATTAAGCTTTAATGGTTATTTATCATTTGTAGACCGCATCTCATATCAAGCTCGAGCAACGCCGTTTACATAGCGCGCATTTCTGGCTCCGAAAAGGAAAAACTATTCGAAAGTGTTGTTAGAGAAGGGGCAAAAAACACAGTGCTGTTTGCTCAAATTGCCGTGTCCTGCATATTTAGATGTGTTCTTGTTAGCCGAGTGTTTGCGTACGTGTATCTAAAAGCGGCTACATATGAAAAAACCCAAAATACACTTTATCAGCTATTAATTTCTAACATTTCTGTCCCAACCGAAGCTGCTGTAGCTGAAGCTAATCCGGTGACGTTACCAAAATCGTCGGTTTTATTTTAACATCAGTTTTTCGGAAGCTGCACGCCAACTAATCAGAACCGACTCGACATATCAACCATCTTTTTACAATGAGAAAAGTGGTTTATCAGTGACAGTTGTTCTAGTCCTACGAGCCAATCTCTCACGATCAGGCCACCAACAGCAGGATTTCGTAGCCGTTTACTCTACTGCTGGAAGAGGGAAATTATATAAAGAACCGTTGATATCTTATGTCGTCATTATGAGGCAAAAAAAAAGTCCGACTTAACGAGCGTGAAGAACGTATGGCCTTGGTTGTAGCAACCGGAAGCAGGAAAACTTTGAGGGGGCGCCACAGAAGCGAAAGAGCAGAAAGGAAGGCAGTCATTTCTTATTTGGCATCCGCATGATAGGTATTTGAATCTGTTAATCACCACTGGTAGCGATCATGTTACATTTAACAATAACTTATAATTAATTAACTAATTAACTATAGAGATAAAAGCATGCAGATATGAAACGGAATCGTATACAGAAATGTATACCCGAACATACTTATATACATTTAGCAGTAATAAACAGCATCGGACAGCAGTTTTATTAGGGAAAAACCGTATAAAGATATTGTAAAGAATAGGTTACCCAATATTTTGTTTTTTTGCTGGACATTGTCGAGCTGCAAGCTTTTGCCCTTTTCTAACAAAAAATAATAAATGTTTCAGATTTGTTGTGCGCCACAGGACGAGCTAGCGAACTCACATCTAAACCCAGATCGCTTACACAGTTTACACGATCCTAATGTCTTTGAGTGCTCATATACTACCGCCATTGTTTGATGCATCATAGTGTATAATCTATAGCTAAAAAGCACCAGAAAAGCGAACAGAATCAATGTAACAAGAAATATATACTTACATCTACCCTTTTTAACAAACCAGCTATATATTTCATCGTTATTACACAGGATCCATATTTTTTCTTTTTTTTTTCACCACCAACATTGGTGAATGACTGTTTAATGCGGATCAATCAATAGTATATCAGCATATTTAGAATGCGTAGAAAAACTTCTACCACAGTTGGGGGCAACAGCATCGAGACTTAACTGGCGAGAATATTAAATAGGCTTCCAAAGATTCGCTTCTTCCTCCCCTCATTTTGCTGGCCGCGTCTCTGTCATTGCTTATGCAGACTATTCCAAACTGCGATGCGACCCCCAGCCAAATACAGCCCTTCTAGGTCTGCGACAGAGGGCAAAGGCAACTAGAGATTAGCAATTTTGCTAAGTATTTTTATCCAGCTAGTGCGTTTATTATGGGCGTGACAACCTTGTTACAACGAGCCGCAGCGGGCATAACACGAATTTAGGCCCATTCCATTTGATAAGACCCTTCCTTCAGCTGGTTCCACTGCTAAAATATCTAGGGATAGTTCAAGTACACGGGTTCGATGCAAAGTGGTGCCGTTGCGTGAAAATTGTATACGGACACATTATCGCTGTGTGTAGTGCACATATGAGTCCGGGTCTAGTGTATGGAGGACGGAGGAAAATAAGGACGATAACAGGGTAAGAAGTACCCGTATTTCCGTTACAACGGCCAAGGGCCGACGTTCTCTCATTGGTTAGGAGCAGCTAGAAAGACTTTACACAAGAATGAATTGAGAAAAGAAATTGAGAGAAAAATGAAACGAAAAATATAATGCGTAGGAGTCTTGTGCCCTCAAAATATAGGAGTGGAAATAGCGTTGTTTATCACTTTGGAAGAAACTTCAAATCGAAGCTAGAGGTGGGTAAAAAATTTGAGACACTTGTAACCCAGGCAATTACGTTATTTCAGCGCGAATAATAAAGTAATACTTTGTACAGTCATTTAAAATATAGGTAATTTGAGACAAAAAAAAATGTATGTAAATAACAGCAGTTATTCTCTTTAATTTAACATTATCATCAGTCTTCACGAGAGCTGTATTAAGAAATGGATACAACCATACAGACTACTCTGGTTATCAATGATAGCATACACAAAACGAATAAGACAAATGCGATTAAACAAAAAAAAAACAAATTTGCGTTTTAAGAGAACGCGCCTACGGTTTTCCTAAGAATGTTTATACAATGCCAAACGTCTTATACGTTTACATTATGTGCGTGAAATTGTTCAGTGCTAATCAGGATGAAATTGTTCAGGACAAATATGATTCATGTTTACACGACGCCATGACACTTCACATTGTAGATGGTTACAAATGTAGACACTCCTCTAGCTAATTTAACTACTAGACCATTGCTTCTCGGTGGTTCGCTCAGAGGCTAACGTGTTCACTTGCTAAATTTGAAAATTCGCGGTAGCCTACCGGCTTAAATACCAAACACGAAATATGAAAAACTGCTACATTACTAGCTAACTAATCCAGGTAGCACCAGAGGCTGACTCGTCGAGGCCCGTTAAACAATGACGTTTCGCGCATAGCAAATGCACATTATAATAGCAACATTCGCGTGCAAGCTTGTCCAGCGTCCCATGTGCGCTTGATGGCGTTATGTCGTTAAGTCGGCAATGGTTTACGGCTACCGGTCAAAGCTACGTCAAATCGACAGTTATGAGTGCAGCCAAAACTAAAAACCCAAATTAGGGTATGTTCTTGGCGTATTTGTCCTCTAGGTCAGCTCGAATAATGTAAACCTATTGTGTCATCGGGCGATCCCTGCTGCATGGCAACAAGGCTTAGATTATGAACGACGGGGCATGCAGATTGCCACCTACGGTGGAACAATTAAGTTTCACAAATCATGCGTTCATCTATGGCGCTTCTGTTGCCAAGATCAATGATGAGGATCTACGCGGAGGGAGTCGACCATGAAGCTGAGGGGCTGCTTTTCTGGGCAGTTCAAAGATTGCGATTGCTCAACGATGAGCTATTATCGGAATATGATGACGAATGGAACCACGCACTGTTGTGTAAGCTTAGATGGGCGATATCTAATGTTTCAACAAATTGAAAACAAAATGTGCAGTACACAGTGTAATAGGTACAGTTTACAGTAATTATAATAATAGTAGAAAAAAAGTGGTTGAAAAGTCTGTTTGGGAAAAGATCTCAATAGGATTTTGGGTGCGATTACGGGAATTTGCAAAGATGCATATCTATGCATCTTTTGCATTTTACCTAAGCTTTTCGCAATGAATTCTTCTTAGAATATGTTTTGGCCTATTGCAACGAGGAGATTTGCGTATGGGCAAAGCAGAATACCACAAAGTGAAATTGCCTTCCGACTTCAGTGTAAAATAATTGTCTATCATCACTGGCTTGACAATACTTGCACTCGAAATTCTCCAAATGCTTAGTTGAATTCTTTTTTTTTTGGTTATATATCATTGATTGAGTAATTCGCTCAGCCGCTTACCCTTGCGATGTCATGGCCGCTTTTCCTCTAATTTTATAATCAGCGAATCAGCAAATCAAAAAACGAATCAGCGGCGAATCAGCAAAAAGAAGACAAAAAATAAAACCGACACGTCCGCCAAATCTGCAGTCATATCTGCATTTGTTATATTCTCGAGACTTGTGCCTCTATGCATTCGGCCAGCGCAACGCTAGGATCCGATAACGTATCGTTTGAGATTATAACGGGGAGTCGAGTGGAGGTTGCAGTCAGTCACAATATTTATAGGAAATAGGTCATAAAGTTACAGATTCTGCGTAACATTGACGTAGGGGTCAACTCCACCGTTACAATGGATCTCAACTGTCCGAGGTACTCCACGTTATACCTCATGAATACGCCAGCCTTCTACAGGACTAGAATCTGCAAAAACCTGTTCTTCCACCGCAGTTTATTAGCGTTGGCCGCCACTGGTTGAATGTTGCCAATGCAAGCAGCTTTCTGCGAGATCTTTTTACTTTACCAGCCGATCATAATTAGTTCAGTAGCCGAAATTCGAGCCCTTCTCTCATCGCTTTGTTTTTCCTCTTCCGTTGAATCGTCCCTAGCATGGCACAGTGAATCGTCTCTTGCGGACCGCTGCAGAAGGCAGTTGTAAACCGTTACCGGATGCCAAACGCAAACATGCGCTGAACTGACGGTGCACATCAGCAATTAGCCAAGGAGCGCTAAGTTGCGCTACGACTGCCGCTTCCCTATAGGTTCTCGTTATGAGCAAAGCCGGCTAGAAATGCACTGAAATAGCTAATCATCATTACGATAGCAGCGAAAACGTTGTCTGCATCAGTAGTATCTGAATCGAGAAGCAGTCCTCTAAAAAAACTGCTATGCGCTTGACGTAGTCTAATTATTATTGTAAAAAATGTGCGACGTTGATTCCCGGTTGCTGAAACGGCAACCGCAACACAATATGACGTGATGACGGGGACCGTCGCGAAAAAAGGAAAACAAACACAGCAAACGCGGAAGCTCTCATACTGAAAGAGCTAGATGAAATCGCACAATGCGATGATTTGACTGTCTAACTGTCTGTGTGTTTTGTTTGAGTGGTTTGTAGTCGGGATAGAGATATGATCTCGTCGCCACGGGTAGCCATAGTGCAAGTCCTGGCTAGTTATGCTTACAGATGATTATTGTATAATGCAGTAATAGTAATCATATCAAACAGTAGAACCTCGTAGGAAACGCTACAGAATGCCTATTCTACAATGGCCGACATTGCAATTGTGCCATCGCCGAGAACTGCGGCTTCACTTACAATGAGACGCTTGATGTGTAACGAGCCAACAAGCAAAGAACAAATAAGTAGCTCACTTCGTACACATTTGTAACATAACAGCTTTAAATTGATGCTCTGGCTTGACATGCCTGGCAAACTTAGTACCAAAGACGCCAAAAGGCATTGGACACGAAGAGAGGTGTCCGTATTAGCGCGATTTAGCCGAACGTCTCGTCGAGAATATGACTATATGGTTAGACGCGCTTATATTTCTATATATTTTATTTATTGAACTAGCAGGCCGCGGAGCTAGCTGAATGGTTGGGGAATTCGAGAAAATAATAGTTTTTATGAAACCGGCGAACATCAAAGTCATATTGATTAGCGTACTTTTAACAGTCTTAATATAACTAATGATTAACAAGTTTTATGAAGGCTTGATGATTCGTGGGCCAGCAAAGCTGTGAGAGCGCAGGCAGATTTCAACCACCCAATCTACATATATATATATAGGCACCAATTATATACCTGCAGGGTATGCGTTGATCCAGACTAGCGTACATCGATGCCTCCACTTAAAGCGCCGTAGCTGAATTGGCCAACCGCCCGCACTGTCCCTGGACTTTTGCAATCAAGCCAAAGATGTTTACTTGGCATTCGATCGCGGGCAAAAGTACTCAAGTACTTTGAGAGATATAAAAGGTCACACGTGTATGGAGACTGATGTAGATTGAGTTATATAGACAAGCTTTACATAAGCTTTACATATGCATTTCTTTTAGAAGTACATTTTTGGCTAGTCGAAAGTGAACAGTTGAAGCTTGTAGCATCATAAGATCTATTGGAACTCGATATCCTCTCGCACAGTGATTGGAAGAGCGGTATCACAGCAGATAACATTCTCTAGGAAACGACTTTCTATTAAGTTACATATCGGCTGATGGAAATGGCATCAGATAGTTTCGCTAGAACAGCATAAATCTAGCGTCTGCATATGTGCTATGCAACCTGCATTCAACGCTGAAGTAGATACTCTGCGAAGCATAACACACTTGTAGCTTACTATGATTTACAAAAAAGGAAATCGACTTTTTATAGCTAGGTTATCCTCGGCCAGTATCCTCATCCAGGCCTCATTTAAAATAGAGCAATCCCAAAAGCTTTATACACGAAAAAAAAAACAAGCAAAAAACTTTTTCCCTGCTTCGCCTTTTTTTGACAGGGGCGAAAAATAATGGATGGTGCAACATTTTTAGTATGAAAAACCCCGTACTAAACATGTGCCATGATAGTCGATATCTGTAAAAGTGATCAGTTCCCAGTAACACTTGGAAACAAATATATACCAGCAGTAACTAACATTGCCATGTATTATAGCAATGTGCTTTTTTCCCATTCCCATAAGCACAATGCGACACGGTAAATTAAACGACGAACGTTTTCAAAACACGTCTCTCACTAGGTATAGCAGTTGTCAAGACCAACCTGTTTCATTTTTTTTATTACGACTACCTTAGGAATTTCGCTCATTTACCGCATTAGGTTTCCCACAACGTTTGCAATAACCAACATTAGTGGGCCCTAACGAAAATCAACACGAGTATAACAGACTGCTAAATGACGGCCCGAGGTTCCGCATTGAGCGAATCACTGCAAGCACCACATAATCCCTAGTTACGTATTCAATAAAATAATATGTTTCGACTTCGATTTCAGTGGCGTCGTCGTTAGGCAGCTTTTCGGTGACTCATCGTTAGCTACAAACCTATAAAATATCCTATTGGCAGTACTCATAGGATACAGATATTGATATCAAGCAATTATCAAGCGCTTTAAAGTTTTCTCATACTTACCCCATACTGGCACTTTGAGTGGTCATTCAGGCATCACACATTTTAGGTGTACGCGGTCTTCCTAGGTTCTTATTGTTGCTCCATTAGTGGTCGTCTCCGCCCATTCAACTGTTGGCTTTCCTCTAGGACAGCTACTTTCCGGTCGTAGGGAGAACTGAAGGCTGTTTTCCAGTTCTGTGCCGAAATGTTCGAACTCTATTATGGGTTCTTTCTTTGGATCTAGTCACTATCGACCGATTCTTTGTTTTATGAAGAGACTACCCTCGTGTGCGTACGAGGGTGAAAAGGGGTGTGTGAGGATGTAATATTTTCACGCGCCACCACCTGTCGTCAAATACACTGCTGTTTCTCTATTCTGCTTTGAAGTCGAAGTACGAGACAGCCGTAATGGCAGCCAATAAAGATGTAACTAAAATTAACTATTAGCCAAAAGTTGTGTTATTGGGCGCTGTCCACTGTCGCGTTTTTACAGTTGTGGCGTTCGACCTACTGTTTAGTTTGCCTATTCTCGCCGAAATACACCCGACTGGCCAATTAATTGGCCCGAACGTCTTTGTGAGAATTGCTTGACCGGAGCGCGAACAGTCCGGAACGGGAGACGACTTTTACTGCTGTAAAGACGTCAACCGATGCTCGAACAAACAAGACGCCGAAGAACGGTCCATCGAAACCTGAAATCCCTATTCTCCGCTGTGTGTCCGTATGTACAATCCTGGTATTTGACTCGGCTACGCTGCAGTCGCTATTGCAAGCCGAAGGGATTTTTTGTTATTGTTATTGCCGACCTCCACGTCCTTGTTGAAGAACTGCAGCAACAGGCGCTACTGCTAAGGTTGAGGTGGTTTGTGGGTCTGTTACTGGGTTCACATGGTGTTCGCCGAAGTATTCGACGGAGGCAACTTGGCGCTGCTCGACATCGTTGACGCTTTGCAGTCTTTTGCGCTTTTGTCGTTGTAGGTGTCGGTTGTCGATTCCACTACACCCCGATGAGCAACTGTTCTACTTCGGTTTGAATTTAGCCTGTTTGTTATTGAACTGCTATACCGATAAACGCCTACAAACGAAATTTATCACACGAATTGTTCGATTAATAGTTGTATGCCTAGTCACCATGTTGAGGGCCTTCTTATCGTTTGAAAATGTATTATTGCCATAAATCAATTTCCTATTCTTATCGAGTAAAGCGATGAGGCTGGACGCTGTAAAACTACTCGCTAGGGCACGTTAGGATAGCCTATTGTCAAGCCTCGAATTTCCGGTATCCCACCGAAGTATTGTTGGGATGTTAGAAATGATAAAGTGAGCTGATACCGGCAATTACGTTTCCGCGTAGCAGCCGATGTTCAGCAGACATTCGACGTAGGCTGTTTCCGCAACCGCAGATAAAACATTTACAATTAAAGCATAGTCTTCAGCCCTGCGTATCCGTCGTAAACCTGCAACTCCAGGAAAAATCTCGAAAAATCTACCGTTCTTAACCCAAGTGTTCCTTCGGTTGATCCTCACTAACAAAACTAAGCTTAGTAAAACGTTTTCATCAGCTTCGCCGCTCCTGGCACCGTCATTCCATCTGAATTCTGTAATAACACAAGCACAATTGATATGACAACAGCAGCCAAAAACTACTTCACTTATCTGCTCCTCGTTCTGCTTCCCTCCTGTAATGATCACTATTTTGAACCTTTAAATCACGAAAACGTGTCGTAATCACATAGCACACACTCGATTGGCGCGCATTCTTAATGAAGCCTAGCGAACCTGACGCACCTCGGTAGAAGCTGAACTTTGTGGACGTTGTGCGTTTTCTGACCTTTTCCTTCTCGAAAATATAGACTCTTAATCCAGTGCTGGCAGTTCACTTGAAATGGCGCACGTATACACACGTGGACCCAGCAAACCTTTATTGATCAATAATAATAATAATAACAACATGAAACACTCAATCTTCGTTTTAACTGCTCAAACCGATGCATGTCCACGGGTAAGAAGTATCTTCGGGGGAAATAATTCGATTTTGATTTAGCTTGTGTTTGTTAATGGTTGTTAGCCGTTTCGGCTAACTCTTTGACATGCTAACGTAGTTGGTCATGCCCAGTGCGGATACGGAAGCGGCAGCAAAGCTTAGCTACAACCATATGATCTCGTGACTATCACCGTCACAAGTACACAATACATGTTAATGTCGAAAATGACGATTATGCTGAAGATTCTACACAGTTGGAAACGAACGCGAACATACTGCTTGCTTTGCTCTCGTAGCCAGATTGGGTCTTCACGGATTCGACTTCATAGCTTCGAATTTTCACTTACAGTTCACAGTAGGACCTGTTCACGTGCTACTTTGTTCAGAGCAATCTGATAGTTACGCACCGACAACAACATACGAGCGTATTGACTTCCGTCCGGCAAATTGTTAAATCTCACCGGTGTATATTCGATGCTCTCCAAGCAAAGTAATTTAGTTTGGCTAGCAGATTTTTGTACACGTTGCCTTAGATGATAGCGGCTAGCTTTAGTAGATAATAGCAGGATATTGAAACTGCAGGTGATACGTCCTGTTGGAAAGCTTTGAGATCATCATTAGTCTCGGAATTTATTGTCGATCGCTCAGCTTGCCATACGATTCGAAAGCATTGTTTCGTTTCTCGCCCTTACCTCGAACACGGATCTAGCAGAATATCTCACATAGGCCTACATTCCAGTGTTATCATCATTATCGTGTGGAGGATCACCTCTTGTTCTTTTCCGAAACCCCTTCAATATCTCTACTTAAAACTTATTCTTATGTATATTTGATTGCTGTTTCTCACCATCGGATCTTTCTGTCTACACGAACAGCATCCGTCATAATGTTACTGCTCACATTAAAATAAGTATTTATACCAGAGGTAGCCGCTTCGGGACGAACCTTTTCCCACGTCCTTCCACAGAAGCCTATATATTATGAAGCCGAGAGCCGAGAGGGCTCGCTCAGCTTTAAGCCCTGCCCAAGCTCTGTCTACGCGTTTCATGTGGTGCTAGTAGCAACAGAGAGGAGTCGAGCCACGAAATGCGGATGACGGCAGAGTGGGCACATTCGACGTTACCCTCACTCATCGATAGCTTTGTTCACTCGATTCGAAGTTCTGGGGCCAATGCTCTTGTCGTCGCCGCCGTTATTATCGCTACCCCCACCACGAACGCTGAAGCTCCGCTCGAACTGGCCGCTCTTTTCACTTACTGCCGATATTTCATCCGCTAGTTCTTGTGTAGACGTCTCCTGCGTCTCTCTATCACATAATGAGCGCGTCGTCCAGTCTTATAGCTTTCGCTTTCCACTAGCTAACTTCTATCACACTTTCTTTACCTCTATCTTCCTACCACCTTCCTTTCCAAGTGGTTTGTGCCGTCTTGCGTAGAGTCCTGCCTCGGCCAAGGTCTTCCTTCTAATGTACCGGACGTTCACACGATCGTGGCGTGTCACCTACTCCGCGCTCGCGATTCTATAACACTGGGCTGTTCCACTTTGATGAACCTCGTGAGCTTCCGCTGGCCGGCGGGTCCCTGTTAGGACCCCAGCCGAGTAGAGGAAAAGCGTTCCGGCTCTGTACTAGTCAATCGCAATCTGTCTGATTCTGTCTCTCTGACTCTCTGGATTGTGAGTGTTCTTCGCACAGACGGCCGAGCAGCCGTTGACGTGGGAGGAGCAAAGAAAGGGGCCAGCAGCGGGGTTAGGAGATGGAACCTAACAAACGTGCGCTGGGCAACTCGACCAGATGCGGAGTGTCAGTAGCGAGTAAGGAAGCTGCTGCACACACACGCAGCGAAAAACTGAACCAAAAAATAGACCGAATTTCGCGAGTGAGGGGAGGCAGTTGACGAGCGAATTCAAGTCAATAGGAGTATCCCAAAAGAGCATAGGGCAATATCGACGGCAATATAAGAATAATTGGGCTTAATTAAATGGCAACGGCCGCGGCAGTCACAGCAGAATGCGGAAGGAAAAGGGGCCGACGGGGCTGTTGATCCAAAGGGGCAAAACAGATAGAGAAATACTACCGCAGGACCTTTGCTATTCGCAGCACAAATTCGAGCAGGCCGCTATTTGAACAAGCAGAACGGAAAGCAATCAAAATCGCCATACCCGCACAGAGTGATCAATAGCGGTCATGATGGTCATCAGAGCTGGGTAAGGAGAGTTACGTGGGGAAGTGGAGTTATGATGGTGTTGCGTAGACCAGATTGGGTTCAGGGTAAGCTCAAGTTGTTGTTGTAGTGGTTGCAGGTGTTGTTGTTACTTTGCAGGTCAGCTGTTTTGGCGCTTTTGTCAGTAGGCTGTCGATGTAGGGTTTTGTTGCAATGCAGGATACTCGTGAAACGCTGCTCTAATTTTTAGCAATGACACAGCTATCCGAGATCTGAGAAACTGATCAGAAGATATGGCGGATACGGCAAAGACAGCAGGATTGACTAGCTGAATTATTTTTTAGTTCTGGATATTGATGTTGAGAATTAGACAAATCGGAACAGCGGATGTTTAGGCCAGGCTGAGTTAAGCTGAAGTGAACTGGACATTGTTTACTGTCTTCCGGTTAGAGTTCGTTGTGAAAAGAGTTCTCTTGAAAAGTCCTTCTTTCAAGTGTACACCTAAATATTGGCACTTATTGCAGGTTAGTTAAAACAATAATTGACAGGTGCTTGGTTTAATCGTGATAGTAGTACAATGACTGTGATTCACGACGATGGTGTTTTTAGAGAGGAACTGTAATCTCCAATCGGACTACGAATTGCGCGTAATCGCAAACCCCAAGGCTAGAAAGCGATTGTTGAGCACGCGTATGGAAACTGACGCAAATTCAGTAGTGGCGTTACCGATTTCGACGACTGACACATGGGCTCGGTCGACTTCCTGAGTTGTCCCTTACTTTTTTTTTTCACTGTTCTCGTTTACGGTTGCTCTGCTGTTGTAGTTTTTTCTTCCTTATCCTTTATTGCACAGCTTCGCTCTGTTTGTCAAGTCATGTACGCAGCCGATCGAAAATATCATCAGGTTGACTACACACCATGCACCCCCCTAATCGGCCCCTCTGATCGGCATTGTACGATGACAATCATATCCTCTCGGTATTGACAACCTGGGAAGACCTGCGGTCACGTAATCCTTTTTTCATCACTTGAACACTACTAGCAGAACTGCGCAGAAGATTTTTCCGCACTTCGGAGCGCACACTTGTGCCGTCTGTTCCCGATTTCACTGTCTTCTCGATCTCCCTCTAAATATCTACAGCTAAGTGCTCCAGTCCTTGTTGACAGGGTAAAAGTGGCTGTTGGCTAGAATTTGTGTCACTTCTGGTTGACGTAGTTCGGCATGGCGAATGGCTTCCTTCAGTAATCCTTTAGCTTCTTTGGGGCTCCTAAACATGTCTCGTCAATTTGTCAATTTTCAGCCTGCCCTCCGATTTCAGACCTGTCCCCTTTCTTTTTTTGTTTCTTCAAGTTCCCAATAATATTCTTTTCCGCGTACGGTGCAACGTTCTTTCACGGCATAATGTGCATGGACTGTTATTGTTGAAGGCCAGTTTCGAGTGTGGTTGCCTGCCTGCCTGTCTTTGTGTGTTACGTGTTTATGTGCGTCGATCAGGCAGACACGAGTGGCAAACTTTTCCCTCCTGTTTTTGCCTCTGCTGTCAGCTCACCAGTGAAGTTGTTTGTTTTTCCACGTAAGATGTATATACATATACACCGTTTGTCATGTACTGAGTTTTCTCTACAAGGAGCAGTCTATGTACGCGTTATCAGATTATGGCCATGATATGTCTTTAACATGTTGTTGTACTTCACTTGATTTCTAGCAGTACGTCATAGACAGGGTAACAGAAGCAGGAAATCGGGCATGTGGTCGACCAGCCATCGAACGGGGCAGAGTCATTGCCAGCGTCGCGATCGCCGGCTGTCCAGCATTTGTTCGAGCTGCTGTTCATAGCACAATTTTTCTTCTGTCGACAGCGTCTGCGGCGACGATATAGCAGCACGCAGCAGTAGCAGCAGCAGCACGCAACACAGCGACTAATTCAATTGAAAAATCAAATCTCACACGCACCGCAGTCGCAATTCCACTGATATGCTTCTATCGATCAGTAGTCATTCAGTGGCTCTATCAATCCACCGCCAAAACCGGCATCCCTTACAGGAACAAAAACAACGGAACAAAACATGATAACAACAACAATTACTACTAGTACTACAACAACAATAACAACAACAACAACAACAACAAGAACAAGAACAACAACGTCGACAATCAGCGAGCTTCGCCGTTGAGCTGTCGTCTACGTCGAAGCTAGCCGCACTTGCTAGCGTTCCTGCAACGTGTAGGTTCCACTTGCAGTAATCGCAATGACAATGCAGCAGCACCACGAAACCCTGCAATTCTACCGTGAAGTAGATCAGACGGTCGCTCGACTGAGACTACGACCACGGTTCGATTCCCGGCGAGTGCTCGAGATCGACGACTGGCGGCTACTCCGCTGCAGCCTTTGCGCATGTCACGGCCCTCTGCTGTGCTGCGCCGTGGGCTCCTCAATGTTTTCGTCTGTGTTGATCACCGCCGTTGTTTAATAGTGGATGTCAACGCCGCCACGGCCTCTATTGATGCAGTAGCGATGGCACTGCGGGCCACTGGTTGGCTTCTTGTCTTAACTGTCTGCTATCTGCCGACGGCTGGTGGCAGGAGCCGCAGCAGCTGCCACCGCCGCTGCCGCCGCCGAAAGAACAAACTCGAAGCGACAAACGACCTGCGGGAGCTAGCCAGCTAGTCAGTTTCTTGCGTTCAATGCTCGTTGTTCGTTCCTTGCTACTGTCTCCGCCGTGACAGCCGCTGCCGTTGCAGTTGGAGCGGCTGCTACGTGCTCCTGCCGCTGCTGTCGCTGGATAGTTGGTGGTACTCAGAGCAACACTTCGCTGTGACGCTGTTATGCTTGTTTGTATTCAGCGACGGCGGCCGCGAGTGAGAGTAGCTGCGCCACTCGCAGCAGGGAGCTGGCTGCTGGTTGGCCAGGCAAACTTCTGTGTGTAGTAGGAGAAGTAGTGACAAAAGCCGCTGATCGGAACGACGGTGATGTCGTTTCTGCGTGATGTCGACGGGTTCTCGCTACGACGGGTTGCGGTTAGTCCCGGGTATAGGAGTAACCGTCAGTATCCTGACTTTGCGACTATGACCATGTCTTTCTGTGTCTATCTGTACGCGTGTGAATGTTTGTATGTGTGTAGATTTCTGCTGTCTATTATGGCTGAATCGGCATCGGGGCCACCACGAACGTCGGCGGCAACGGGCTCGCCTATGCTGGTAGCGCAGTTCGAGGAGGAGAGTAAAGGCTGGCGAGAGCTTTGGTAGACAACAGTTGTCTCCGTTGCTTTATAGAATTATGTACCAAACGAAGAAAGAGCTACGATATTTTCTTCGTTAGTTTGTGCTGCTGATATGGCGCGCCGATGGGCACAAGGATCGTCGTGTGGCAGCCGACGCTCAACATCAGCGGAGGGCTGAACGTCGCTTGCGGTCTAGTGATGATGAACCGCTGCTCCGCTGCGGCTGGCACTACCGATGCCTTAAAGAAGAGCGATGCGGTCATATAGTCGGCCAATCTCGACTGATAACAGACGGTTTTTGAGTATTATGGGTTCTAGTGAGAATTAGTATACATTCGATAGAAAAGACGAGTCGTTTGCGTAAGAAATACATGCGATCAAGTATCAGAGCCGTCCGTGCAGACTGTAGATGTCATAACGCCACCGTAGTAGATTCAACGGGAACTTACTGGAAAAAGGTCGCACTGCATTAGAGGTTCATAGTGATTGCTCCGAAGGAAGTGATTCGGGAAAATGAATATGACTCAGATTTATCTCGAACTCAGTTTTGATTGTAAATGTAGCACAATGCAGAGGAGTGTATAGACCCCTAGTTGAACTACTGAACCGCGTTTCATATGACAGCAGCGCCCGACCGGCATAACCCATCGTTACAACGAAATACTCGCGGTCATCGTACGTTGATGATTGTTTGTGGACGAATTCGAGCGGTGTTTTCCGAGCTGCTGGCCTGGGGGTAAAATCGGTCACAGAATCGGGTCTACCAGCACATGTATATATATTTAGTGCTAGCCAGGTCACTGTGATAGTTCACAGTTCGTTGTGGTAGAACTTATTTGAATTAGTTTGACACCGCCGCCGCCGCCGCCGCTATATGTATAGCACAATTATATTTTCTTTCCCTCTCGTAATTTCGCCACAGAATGGTAATAAACATAACAGCGACGTTCCACACTACGACAAACACTCGTATTCTAGAGGTATAGGAATATAGATTGTGTCATGCCATAAATGTACGTGGTTCAACATAAGTGACCAGGTGATCTGAGAGTTGGCGACTGTTAGAGTAGCACAGAAGTAAGAGGTGGTGAAAATAACATTTAAATAGTTTGAGAAAGTGTATATGTGAAACGGAATCGTCTTTTTCAACGTCTATTGCTGCTTGTGTGCTCGAAAGCGGTAGCATAGCCAGCTTTATCCTATGGGCCATAGATCGGGCTGGGTTATATTTGAATAGACTATAGGGCGCCAAAGTACACGGATTAACAAAGACAACGAGTACCCTGCGCGCTCAATGAGTGTCGAAATGACAGTGGTAATCATGCTTTCTGGAGAACTTTGACAAAGATGATAATTTTTTTACCCAATAGAACGGAGCACCGGCACATTGTAATCGTGAGGTTATAAGCATATATTGACGCGAATCTTCCAGACTAGTTAGATGAAGAAGCCCTCTAGGATACGCTGCTCCGTTCCTCCAATCTGATGCCAATCGACCTTTTCTTAGTTTTCTCTTTTTATTTCAAAGATAGAATCTACGCCAAAAAGTTAACGAAACTGGAAGATTTGGAAGTTGTTTGAAGTTTGTGAAATAATAGCCTACCATTATTAATAAATAGCGTATTTATCAGAGCAACATTCATTTTGAACATTTGCGGTAGACGGAAGAGCTAAATAGTTATGTAATTTTTTTAAGAAATAATAAATATTAATGTGTTAATAAAATCAAGTGTTGTCATCTTTTAAACTAATGCATTTTTCGAGACGTCGTATATATATATATATATATATATATATATATATATATATACATACATATGTATCTGCTTGCCAAATGTACACACAGAACATTTTCGAAACCAACCTCCTATACGAGATAGAAAAAGACGTAGAAATGGAAAACATGTTCGTTGTTTGTTCGACTGTTAGTTTATGAGCAACTTCATTTGATATTGTCTTATAATAGCTATGAAGTGGGGCAAACCATTCTATGGCCACAATCGTGGCAACAGTCCTTTTAGGGCAGAAACAATGAGTCCTCTGAGAGAAAAATAAGCAAAATGTCTTTCAATCTGACGCATTGGAACGTTGATATGAGCTACATATTTCGAAACACAGGCTCTTAGAATTTTAGCTGCGTGTAAGCTCTTTAAGTTTCCCACAATGTCCACTAAAATGAGGTTACTCTTTTTTGCGTTTTTGGAATTCTGCACAGAAAAACATTTACCATATTAATATTGTTAAAGAATATCGATATCGTATTTGTGCCAAACTATACTTCGATTTTTTTACTTATTATTTTTTCTTATTCTAGTCGGAGCGCCAGGTCAGTGGGTCGATCCGCGTGAAGATTTGCTGGTAGTGTATTGCGGTACTAAATTTAAGGACACGTGATATGATATAGGCCCGATCGAGAAGCAGTATCAAATGTAAAACTTCAGAAACTTGTTCGGGCCACTGAGTAGGGTTCTTGAATAGTTAATTTTGCTCATCATAATTTGGACATGTTGAAAGTAATAAATTTCAATCCGTTTTCTGTAAGTAGTTAGGTGTACTTGTAGCACTGGCCGTCAGCAATGCCCATATTAAGTGAGAACGACGTTTTATTGAGACGCGATCTTTCGATCGCGAACTAAGCTTCTCATGCGAATGAAGTTCCCGTGGATCAAGGTTAGTGCGCAGGTTTCCCCGGAATAGAATTGAATCTTAAGGAATCATCGTGAGACGAGTTTGCAGATCGTTTAACACTGCATCGTTTAGTCAACGACAAACGGAAATGCATGGTCTTAGAAAAATCCGAAGATTTTCTGCAAATGTCTATAAAAAATGAAATACCTTCAAATGACCCTCCATGTCGATTGTGAATATCATAGATAAACCTTAAAGAAAACTGAACTCCATCAACGTTACCTATTTACAATAAGAGCTACGCTATATTTATTCGCTCAGTGCTCTCAACGTCGAGCGGCAATTACATATTTCAGATACATAAAACGTTCGCTATTTACAAAAATTGCGTTTAGTAGTTATTTAAAAAGATAGAAGCTAACCAGATCAATCATCACATGATTGACCATACACAATCAGAACGGTTGCCGCGAGGTCGATGAAGTATTACTAAAAATCAGTTTACATGCATCCCTTTCTAGCATTCTTTACTTGACGTATTTGTTGCATATACACTACATGCTACCACTTAGATTGAAAGCTGTTTTCTGGATTAATGGCCTATTTTCATCATTTGTACAGGATCTGTCTCTAGGTCCCAGACGTAGGATGCTGTCAATCTCACCTGCCATGTCGACCCCATCAACGACGATGCATCTTTCGTGGCCTCGACTGCTGAGGCTAAGCGAACTTTTGCAGGCGTCTGCTTGTTCCACGATACTCACTCTGGGGCCCAGCACACTATCCATCGATTGATTCGCATATGTTCTTAACAGGTCAATTATAACGTGATACACAAGTATTACAAATGTAATAGTTTTAATGATGTTGCGTTTAGGAAGTGCAGGTGCTTGGCAGAATTGGGCTTTGACTATTTGCATTTTTATTTGAGCTGCTAGAGCTGATTCTCAACTCAGGGAGCATCTGCATCTTATCAATTTGACACAACTATGAAAATGAAAATAAAAATCTGACGAGTAAAGTAAATTTTAAAAAAATTACAGAAACTCGATGTGTGCACGCATATATAGCACACCTATAAGCGATGCTGTGGTTATTAAAGCTGACTGGTCCTTCAGGTCACAGAAGATCGACAGCCCCGCTAATTTTCTAAGGCTTCTTCGACGGAACCTGCTTAGTATATAAGGTGGGTCTTCATGAGAGTTTTAGAATACAAAGTAAAAAATGTCGCGCATTTTTTTCTCCTTAAACATGGCATTGAGATCTCTTGTAGAACTTTTACCAGCGTATAGATTATAAACTGATATTGTTATTTCCATATCATACACTGCACAGAGTACAGTTACTGTATTCTCTATAGAAAAATAGTACATAATTTTCGCCCAACGAAAACAAGCTTTCGATATCTCTACTCTAATCGTTGTCAAATATAAAGACCAAATATAAAAAAATGTAAGCATCGTACTACTGACACCCAATTTTTTGGCAATTCAATCAGCTATAACGGTCATTTCTAGACACGACTTGAACCGAAAGATCCAGACCATACCCTCGATGGTCTAAAATAGGTGCGATCGGAATAAACCATGAAATGAAATGTTGTCGCATTGAAGTTATTGCCGGCAAAGCCCTATGCCGGTTCAGGTTCGCCCGATCCGGTAGGAGCAACTTCACTCCAAAGTCATTGTGCCTTAAACCTAGCGTCTTGGTTTGTCGATCCTTCGAAGTGGTTTGACTTATTTCACTTTTCTATTTGATTCGAACCTTTATTTTTAAATCTCGCTTGAATACATTAAATTGAAAAAGCTCATCGTTGATGTCTATGAAGGCTGGAAACGGCAGTGGTACTTCTTTGCTTGTTAAAGTAGTGCATGCAACTATAGCATGATCTGCTGTAGATTCGTGTTTACCTTATATTTTAACCAAAATAAACCAATATATACCAGACAGTCGTTATTTGTAAAAATAATACAACTAGTTAAATTTATGTGTGTGTATATATAACAAAGGCGACATACCATCTTGTACGCGCGCGCACGATTTCGACAACTAGCAGAAAAGACCTCGGATGCTTTTTTGTTACCTAAAAAGTATAAGAGCAATAATTGACATAAGACTCACCATAAGGATGTAAGTAATAAGAAGGCCAGTCAATCGTTCGCCTAATTGATCATGATGAAATACTACAAAGACAATGAGGATCAATACAACCAGGACTCGCAATGACTCTCAGCTAAAATTCAGTTTTGATAATTTTATACTTCATTCTAATAGTTATAGCAGTAATGGTAATAATAACTTTCGTTTCCAATGTGCTATAGTGAAAATTTATAATATATTGATATCATCTAGTAAATTGATAAGAATTAAATGAAATTAGGTAGGATACCTAGGATACCTAATTGGGAAGTTTTTAGCAGTTTAACAATCATACATACACCCCATAATGGTGATGGTTGTTAACCTATTTAATCAGTTAGGTACTTATTACTTAAAAGAAAGTTCTTTATAGCATATATTTGTGTGGTGTAAAGAAGAAAAATATTCAGCATGACATGATTCAGGCGTTACAACATCATCTTTTATTTTTATGCAGTTATCTTCAACGCAGCATCTTATATTATTACGTACGTTTATTTTAATTCCGTTGGTACAGCAAATCTTTAATCATCCACCACCTAAGGAATCAGTTAGATGTATGAGGTTTACTAGTGACAATCCTCATGTAGTTATATTTTATGACCCAGACATAACAACAACGGAAAAATCATCACGTACATTACTTCATCCACCAATAACCTAATAAGTCATAGTGCATGAAGCTTTCAATAATCAACGTCCTTACGTTGCAGACACGCTGTTATGAGGTATGCGGTTGGCGCTGAGATCAAGACGCGTTACAAACTCGTTCACGAAATCCTTTTCTGCATGGAACGACGAGGAGCCACTGTCCGTCCCCGACATGCGGTTCAACACTGGTGAATGCATGGCGGACTTAGCCCAGCCACATTGGTTGTTAATAATATGTTCTTAGTGGCATCATTCCAAAGGTTATTCATTATATTGTCGGCTGGGTGTCGGCGAACGTCGTTACTCCAATCACAAAGCCAAAATATGCCCACTACTTTACGCATTTCAAAAAGTCTAGAGCCAATCACGGACAGAGGGGCGTACAAAATTCCGAATCGCCGAAGAAGCATCCAGTAAAGGCGTCAAAATACCTGACAACTGTAGCAGCCTCTTCTGTTCGATGACTGTTATCCTAGCTACCCACGTTGAATGAAGCGAAACCTCCTTTTGCTGAAGTGCTATGAACCTGCATTATCAATAAGGTCATGTAATTCACCTATTTCCTTGCGCATTGTCTTTAATAAAACATCATTATCCATCTTTATAGCTGAGATCTTTATAACTGCCAATTAAATCAATTTGGCCGACGAAAGGTAGTACAGATTGTAAGTATGTGACAAGAATTCGGGTGGTGTCCTCCAAAAGGCCGTTAGGCCAGATGACGTCCTTGGACAGATGTTGAGGCATATGTAAGTGGATCGTCTAGTAAGAATAGTTGGGTTTTCTGATGGACCGCACGGGCTAGACTTAGTCTTTGCTTCTGACTGCCTGAAGGATTGACGCCTTTTTCGCCAACTTCTCTCCTATAGCTTTCGTGCAAAACAAGAACGTCTGATAATAAACAACGCTTCTCTATGGCTTGGTGCTACCGTACCGAATTGAACTGGGTTGTGAAGACAATACTTTGACGTACGGTGTGATTTTGAATCCGAGCCTATTGTGGCACGTATGCAATCGGCACCTAACGGATAACGGACAGCAAATGGCTATAAGGTAAAAATGAATCGAGCATTATTGGATTCGTTCGTTAACAAGTAAAAGGTCTGAAAGTTCTGTGAAGTCGTGAAACCTTTCCCGTTTACTCTATTTGGTCGGTTGTGCCATCTGCGCGAAGAACGATGAAAACTAAAATTCTTGAGAATATATTTTTTTCGACGACACGCAGTTAGTATATTTATGTGGATATGTTTCCGAAATCATTTCTTAGTAGGTATAGCATCAGAAACTCGTCTTCCGGAAGCTAACCGAAATGCGTTTCGCTGGACTCAATTGGGATTTCTCTAATAGATTTTTCAAATGGTATGACACCCATATGAGCAGCTATTAATTTTAATAATAATACTACCTTATCTTCCTTAATTGCTCATTTATTTCTCCGTACATTATTTTTCTGGTTATCAGTATCTAGTAATAACTTTTGCTAACGCTGAGATTTGAATCAGCGTGGTAACATATCGGCTAGTTATCGTTACCATGACAATGCAAATAAAGGGACGAGCATCATCCGTCACCCACTATTGAGAATACGTTTTCCTAAAAATTAAAGTGATAGGTGCACTGGACCATAGTCATCTAAATATACTTCTGCATGCCACGAGAAGGATACGACAGAATGGTAAATCATAATGCTATAATGTTTACCGAATAATAGGAGGCAACAGTATCGAGATGTACAGGGTGCGCCGAATCACCGTACAGCTTGAGGGAAAGTCTCTTAACAGGTTTTGGATCGTCAGTTGAACCTTTTCTTATTTTTAATTCTAGTACACTTAATCTTATGGCGCGTTAACGGACGTAAAATGACATGATATGTTCTTAAACGACTTTCTCCAAACAATCAGTTAACCCCATAGAAAACAGTATGCCCCCTCCGGAGTTCGCAGTACCGATCGAATGCAACACTCAAATTTTGCAAAATCATCTTTGTAAAACGGGTAGTTAGCTAAATATCCTGTCCGTTCATGCTAAAATCTTGCACGCGAACATCTGTTGAAATTTACTCGTCTAGTTACACCATAACGAATAGTTATTGGGAAACTAGGCTATGACCATTCTCTGAATATTTCTATTGCAAGCACTGGACGAGCCTGACAAGGGAAAGTCTTGGAGCTTCTATCGCCCGTCTAGCTAATTATTTTACACACGCAGCTCAGGACTTTCACACAGCTAGTTGGCTCATACACATAGTATCTTCCATACTTGATTACCTAATTAATTTCTTCGGAGGGCTGCAAGAACGTGCTTTTTTTATACAAATGTACGAGGTCCATTGCTGTTGCAGGCAGGGCATCCATATTTTGAACGAGTATTGATCAGTTTATCCTCAACAAAAATGGCGCATGCTCAAAAAGTGAAAACCAATTTCTTTCGCTTGTCGCCCATCTACCGTCATGGGGAATATTGCTTCTGCTAAAGCGAACCTGCTCGCAATGTACATGCTTCGTTCGTATTGCTTAGCGCTGCATTTGTAGACGAAGATAAAAAGTGACATAAACGTCACTGAAGCCTCCCAAGCGAAATTAGCGTGTCTGTTTCGCCTGAAAAAATATCGCAACCAAATTTTGCATTTAGATTTTATGATTTATGGTACTGCGGCGATCTGTGACCTGCCAGACTGCAGCTCAACATTAGATCGGAACGTGATCTTAGATATAATACTTAGTATATACTAGGTACACTGTAATGCAGGGTGGTGGCGCGAAATTTGAATACTCATAATTACCTACATTATTATTATATAATACAGATGCAACAAAGATCTTTTTTTTAGGCTGTGTGCGCGACGGCCTGCCTAACTTAGACCTCATCTTGAATCCAGAATGCTTATTGTAGGCTATCAGTTTCTGCTGTTGCATTCTGCAGTCGAACGCAGAAGACACTTAACCGATTTCTAGCTAAAACTGGCATGACGCGATACTGCGAAGTACAAGCTAGCCATGAAATGGTGACAGTGAAACGTTAAAAACGCTCTACTTTAAAATCGCAGCACATAAATGCAAAAACCCACTGCTATCTGTATCAATCAAATACATAGATCGTCTGTTGTAGTTTAGTTTTAACCCATACCCGGGAAACACGTGTTAATAAAGGGCTTATGGATGACAAACAAAACAACATGAGACGAACATTCGCCTACCACATGCTCGACCTCATTTAGATCCACCTTGCCGGCCTGCAGAAAGTTCTGAATTCGCCTTAAGGAGACTTTGCAAGTTGTCAATGAGGAAATTACCGACGGAGGAACGTCAGGTTGAAACGCATAGCATTAAACAACGAAAGCGAGATGAAGGCGCGCTTGGCCCTAAGGACTATTTTCACGGTTGATAACTATGAAGCAAACGGAAGACGCCGTCGAGGTCTGCAACATCCCAGAATCAGTGACATCATATGTTTTTTTTATGAATAGCGACAAGGCTAAGAGTTTCTTTGAGTTTCTTATATTTAACGGTAAGTTAATTGTATTTTTTGCACGATTATAATTAATTAAGTAATTGCAACTCGCCGCTTATATAATATAATGACTTTATAATACATTACCGAAATAAAGTTCTGCCTCTTATTGATACGTATAATGTCCAATGCAATTTTTATTTGTCGCTAATTTCTATATTCACTAATAGTGAATGTATGATAGGATGCGGGTAAGTTCTGGCGCGAAGCGGACCGCAGTGTTTTGGCATGGTCATGTTTCTGCTTCTGAGTTCGACAAACTTCTGGTTGTACTACAATATTCAAAAAGGCCGTCTGATTTTCTTGTACCTGATTTTCGCAGCGACCATACGCTACTGAGCAACTGCCTCTGAGTTTGAAAACGCTGGCCTATAAACTTTCCTATCCGAGTGCCGGTTTAGATGAGGATCGGTTCAGCGACTTTTTGAAATGACCGTCTGCATACTCTAGCAATGTTTTCTGGCGCCAAGTGCCTGTTGATATTGCTATCTTCCATTTGGCCACCCCAAAGTGCGATTTTAACCTCGAAAACTTTTTTTGATGTAAGATTTTTTTTCTCAAATATTCATTCTTTCTGCGCCCCACTTTATGCACAACTACTATATTGACTAAATTTTTTAAGCTAAAATTTAAGCACATAATTTTGCACATAAAATAACATCGTTAAACTAAATACGCGCTATTTTGATCGATGACTTTCTTTCATTTATTTTCTGGCAACATCGTAATCCCATCAGTATAGAACTTCTATGGCTATCATTACTTGTATTAAGCTATGGTGGCATACAGTTATTGCATGCACTTGTGTAGAACCTCGATCCATAAAACCTGCACACCTTGTATTCTACCAGGGCGCTATAAAGTTACATTCCTAAGCACAGCATTCTTTGCTTCTGGTGTTAGCAATGTAACCTTATTTCAATTTAATATGTATATATAAAGCATTATGAACAGAAAATACGCTTCTTGCCATTGGAGTATTCATAACAGAGAAATTTAGTCTGCTCTACTATCTTTTGTAGCAAAATAAAATGAAGGGCGCGATGCATTTCTCCTTTATCGATTATAAAATGAAATAATTACAATGAAGTTCTTTTACTAAAGAGGGGTTTAAATTAGTTATTTAACAGAGCATAAAGTTTATTGTGTGACAACCTATTATAGGTATCCAATAACCATTTTACAACAGTTTTATAATATTGTAATGCTGGAAGGCCTTCAAGCCTTTAACTTATCGAGCCCAAATCTTTTGTTCCTCGAGCCATTTTCGTTTGAATACCTCGGAGTAGTATCTCGACCGAAGATTCGGTTCAAGTTCGACGAGATTTTTTAGATATACCAAATTAGGTGCACCGTTCGTGCACTTCAGGATGGGTCGGCTTCCACCTCGGCTGTCAACTCGTTGTCATTGCTTTTCGCGGCGCTCTTCCACAAGACTCATTTTCAAGTTTGAAATTTTCTTTCTGGAAGTTTTCGAATGAACGGCTCATGGTATTTCTAGAAATAGAAGCTTCACCGAACACGAAGTCTATAGACAGCGAGTGTTGTTTCCGCCGTTGTATTCCGTTGGAATTGGTTGAACTGATTTTCTATGGCTTACTATGACACCTTTGTCAAGAGACCGAGTGAAGCTTCAAAGAGTAGCTTCAAAAAGTAGCTTCAAGGGAACTAGTGCGCCTTAAATACAAAAGAAAAAAAAAAGTATATATATATATATATATGGAAAAACTTGCATGGAATAAACCGTATACGAATTTGAGTTGTGAAGTAGGTTTAGAAGGGTATTACGCCCCTTTAGAAAGGTATAATACACTACATATAATAACTTAACTTAACTTAACGATAAAGCAAATGGCATACTGATTCGCAAAAGACGTACGCGGACACTAGAGAAGCTTTCGTTTATTAATTACACTTGTTGTAGCGTACCAGATAGCCAGGTAATGAACCGGTATCAACTAGCTGCGCCGAGTCGATATAACGACTTTCTTGTTGCAATATAGAAAACGACTTTTACTAAGCAAGCTTTTACTATCCCGTTTATATA